AAGAGCACTGGCTGCTCTTCCAGAGGTCCTGAGTTCAATTCCCAGCAACCACATGGTGGCTCACAACCATCTGTAATGAGATCTGGTGCCCTCTTCTGTATACATAATAAATAAATACATCTTTTAAAAAAAAAAGAAAAAGAAAAAAAAAACTTGCAGCAATCACTCCAACCACTGCCACATTGTCTCCACACTCCTTCAGGAGGAATCAAAATGTCTGGATTAAAGTTGCCATCTCCCGTTCTTGGTGGAGGCCACCATCTTCCTCCTATTCTAGGTTCCCATACTTCCCATTTGTCATCTCATCTATATGTATATAGTATATCTATACTCCATCCACAGTCTTCAGCCCACACCCCTTAGGGTCTCAAGTTTTACACAATGTCCTTGGAATATCCTCAGAAACTGAAGTATTCATCGTGGCCAAATTGAGTCCAGTGCGCTGATACACATCATACCATGTGCTATAGTTGACCACACATTCGGTACAGTTTATCCAAGTCTGAAAGCTTCCCCAGGCTGTAGGTTCTTTCCCATGACCTGCATAACTGCCTTGACCCCAGCCTGAGTGACCATCTCTGTATAATTTCCCATGAAATTTGTTTCATTCCCATCCTGTTTCACAGAAAGTACCATTGGTCTAGAAACAAAGAACATTAAAATCAGAGAGAAAAAAAAAGACTACCATTACAAGAAATAATTATATGGAGGAGAACATGATATGTGCATGCCATAAAGCATGACCTTGGGACACATAGGCATTTCTGCCTTGGCCCTCTAGAGTCATGCTAAGCAGGAGATATGGAGAGGAACACAGAGAGGGTTGATGGTCCACAATCTCGGGTCCCTCATCTCTTGTATAATATTATAGGGACCAGCCTTAATATTATACATCCCAGGGGCTCAGGAGAGAGAACTACTAACAGCGAGGACTATTTTTAGGAAATAGAATCTCAGCGCACCAAGCTCTATAGTCCACTTGCTTTAATTCCTCTGGCATAACATCCTTTATACACAGCTTCAGTTCTGTTCTTGTGCCTAGCTCCTTTCTTGCCTGATCTCTCTCTGTTTATCTACTGTTCCCTCTTAAGTTCTATCTTAATTCTCTCATCTTAATTCTGCCTCATCTAGGTCATTTTTACCTTGTTCTTACCCAGCTAGGGCTTTCCCATCTGACTCTTCCTCATCTTCCATCTCATTCCTCTAGCCCTTCAATCTAGTTCTTTCCCGTCTCAGTTTGCTCCTCTCAAGTTCTTACCCATTCTGTTCTTCCATTCTCTTTTCTCTTCTCTGTCCTCCATGTGCCCTGGGAGTCCTGGTATATATACACTTAAAAGCAGTATTCCCTTAGCAGTGCAAAACCAGGCTTTCAGGGTCAAACGGAGGGGTGATAAGAATCACATAACTATTAATTATCATTTGCAACCCCAAAGGGAAGTGACCAATGGGGAAATGAATTAACTAAAGGCTAACTTCAGCTAATATCTAAGAAGAGCTATCTTATGTGCTCAACTATAATCTTAAACGTGATTGGTAGAAAATGTTAAGATCTATAAGTTGCTAGGTCAATGTGAGAAAATAAAACTGTCTTCTTTTTTTCCTGTGACTCATGTTTGTCCAAGCTATCTGCCATTTTTCTGCAGAGTAGGGGAAAGTGTGCTCAGTCGCTAGGCAACCTGTGTACAGCTAGATGCCTCTGGTGATAGTTAAAGGGAGATCTGGAACCAGAGGTAAGGTTTGGAAAAGGAGGAAGTAAAGCTTAATTGGCACATCTGCCAGGCCTTCTCAAACAGGTAGCCTGGATGCTTAAGTCTGTTCTTAGAGAGTACAGAGGTATCTCTGATAAAGTACTTTTCTTCATCTGGGGATGGACCTGGCCAGATGGTGCCAATGATGATAATTACAGGGAGGCTTGAACTGGGGTTCTGGCTGAGCATAACTGTCAGTGCAGAAGGTTATCCAAATATTCTTAGAAGTGGTTAGATAAGGAGTTAGAGGTCTATAAAGTTAGTAAGGCTGTAAAAAGGAGGGTCTGAGCTAAATTATGTAAAGCTATTACTGAACATCCACCTGACCTAGGCAGTGTCTCCTTGTGGAATTTGTCTTAAATCAGGAGACTTGCATGTGGACTGTTATTACTGATAGTCCTTGAAAGTGGCCAAGGGAGATATCTGATTCCAGAGAAAGTCTTTCCTAAGGCAGTTCTCCAAATAACTGGAATGTGTATGTCCAGAGAGTGATCAGTCCACACTGTTAGCCCTTCTTAGGGAAGAGTCAATTGGGAAAACTATGAAGGCACACATGATTTTCATAACAGAATACAGCTGATATATAACAAGCTAAGTAACATAAAAAACTCCTTGGGATTTGGCTTCCTCTGGAGGAAATCCCTGATCCCTCCAGGTAGTGACTTTGCCATAACCAGCTGAGTTCTTATCATATATTCCTGCGGCTTGCAGCACTCACCTCCAATCTTTGCTGGCAACACGTCAGGCATCTTATATGCTGTCCCTGGCACATTTATAATTAGGAATAAGTCTCTGTGTATGAATTATTCAGGAGCTGGGTTGTGGGGGACCCTCCCCCCAAAAGAGCAAAACCAGCCAAAACATGTGTGTGTGTAAAGGGTAAAGGAGGGAAGGGTGCTTTTATGTGGACACAGGTCTAGAAAATGAATCCTGCAAAAGCAGTCATCTTCAGATGAAATAGGTTTAATTTCTTTGGTTGAAATTGAATGGGTTGATTAATTGAATGGTTCAGATATGCTTTGTTAAATTGATAAGTATCTTCTGAGTCTCAAACATGCAAAAAGCAGCTAGAAAGTGTACTGAGAGACCTGTGTGGATTTCCTAGGGCTCTTCTGCCTCACTAGGAGTGCTTCCATGTCTTTAAACTCATACTCTTCAAGTAAATACCACTCTACTTTTGGACAATTTTTGTAGCATGACTTTTTCCTTTGGGCATAACATGATGATTACTTTGGAATAGAGACCACCTCGGCCAAGTAGCCATAGCAACTAATTGAGCAGAACAATACAGAGGTATTTAGGTCCTTGATAATAGTAATGGTGCTTTTGACACTTTCAAATACAAGGAAGGAGGGGAGCCCAGCTTTTGTTTCTTCCTGCCATCCCCAGCTACAAGTGATTGTGGGAGACTCTTGAGAATGTAGAAAGTGGAAGATTAGCTGAGAGGTGTTCATTATGATGCAACTTCCATTGTTAGGGTCCTGGAGAAGTCCCACAAAAGACCACCATCCATGTATGCAAGCAACAAGAGCATTTATTATCTCAAGAAAGTTTCCAGCATGCTGGGGCCGGCCATCCCACACCAAGGCAAAATGGCGATGACCCCA